CCCACCCCCCCACCCCTCCGTCTCTGACACGCTTCCCGGCCTCCTCACCTCTCTGAGCTGCTGCTCACAGAAGCTTAGCCTTGGTGAACCTGGCCAGCTCCAGAAACTGGGGCACAGAGAGAGTTAGCAGCATCCCAAGATCACACATCAAACCGAGAACCAGCCTGACATCCCAGGACCCCCAGAACTAGGCCAAGACAGGCCCTAGCCAGATCTCCCCCCACCTCCCTCACCAGGGACAGGCTGAGGCACCAACAAGGGGACAGCGGCTGAAGGGCCAGCCTATACATACCCTCCCCCATCCTACCCTGCTTCCCAAGCCAGCCTCTGGGGAAGGCTTGGTGGCTAATTCTCCTGGGCCTGGTGCAGGGGGACTCCGGTGGCCCGCTGAACTGCCAGGCTGACAACGGCTCCTGGGAGGTGCATGGCATCGTCAGCTTCGGCTCGGGACTGGGCTGTAACACCTTCAAGAAGCCCGCTGTCTACACTCGCGTGTCCGCCTTCATCGACTGGATCAACGAGGTGCGTGCCCACCTCCAGCCCGGGGCCCCTGCTTCTCACACCCACGGCCCCTCCCCTCACACACTCCTTTCTTCAGTCACTTCCTTGCTCACTCATTCACTCACTAATTTGTTCGTCCGTTCTTCACTTGCTCGCTAGCACATGCTCTCAAGCACACACTCGCACGCACGCTCGCACACTTGCGCACTCACACACACAGCAGACTGCTGGAGATGCTGCAGCCCCGAGAACCGCCCCCAGAGAGCTTCCCCTGCCGTCATCTGTATTGACACAGATGGCCTCATCCTCCTGCGGAATGGCTGAGGGGTTCAAACCTCCAACCTGCAAGGTAGCAGTCTCTTAACCACTGTGCTTAACCACTACTTGGTAGCTACTGTGCTACCAAGACTCCTTGTGCACACAGTTACCCCTTTCTCCATGCACTCACTTGCTCAATCTCACATTCACTCACTCAGTCATGCCTCCATCCCACCACTGGCTCACTCAAGAACTGGCCGAGTGCTCATGGGCCGGGGGCAGGCGGTGAACCAGGCTCCACACCAGAGCCCCACAGTGAGATGTGGTCCTATTAGAGCAGGGCCCAGCAGGGGAGAAGGGTGGCATGGGTGGTCCCTCTAGATCTTAGAGGCCACCCTAGGCTGGCCACTTTCCCATGGGGGCCTGCAGCAGCATGTCCTCTGAGCCTGCTCCCACCCCTGACTCGCAGCAGCAGGGGTCCGAGACGCTGAGGGCCCTCAGGGCTGCTGTGTGCCAGAGCCCAGGGGAGCCTGCTGGGCCATGCGTCCATGCTCCTGCCCCAGCTTCCCACCGCTCCAGAAGGGGTCAC